GTGCCCCTTTCGCCTCGCCGCCGAACATGAAGGCAGCCAGAACCACGGGGGCGGTGAGATTCGGCCTGCTCCTCCTGCTACTTTTCCTGCTCCTCCCATCCTGAAATCTGCGCGTCGTGAACAAATCACCACGGGAGGTTGTTGGTCAGTTTGGGCTTCTGGGGGCCCTCGCCGGGCCCCGGGACCGTCGAAGAACGGTTTGGAGCGACGGTGACGGGGGGCCCGGGGGGGGTGGACGAACCTCCTCTTCGTCCCCCCCTCGCTTCCTTTTCGTCTTCCTCTTGGGCCTCTCTCATCGTCGTCGCCCCCCCCTCCCCGCTTCCTCGTCGCCCCCCTCCCCTCCGTTCCCTTCCGCCGCGCCCCCTTCCTGCACCCCCACTCCCCCCTCTTCCCCTCCCCTGCTCGCCCCCGCCCCCCCCCCCCCCGGGTAGGCGGTCGCGGATCCCGCGAAGGCCAAGGGGGCCAAGGGCGAGTCCCCCAGGGCGTCGTCCCCCAGGGGGGGCCGAGCGGCAGCGTCCCAGGATCCGCCCGCGGAGGCGCGAAGGGGTGCCTGCGCGCCGTGCGCCGCAGGGCGCGGCGCCACGGCGACGCCAACACTGTGGCGGTTGACCTACAGTTCGTGCCGTGTCGACTTCGACGTTGGTTTCTGGCACACGGCGTGGATCGTTCGGCCTGGAACGATCGGCGGCCCTTCGACCGCCACAGTGTTGGCGGCGCGCACAAGGGATGCCTGCGCGCCGTGCGCCGCAGGGCGCCTGCGGCTCGGCGCGCCTCGCGGCGCCACGGCGACGCCGCCGCGGGCGTTCGCGGCGGAACGCTCGGGGTGGTGGTGGCTAAGACGAGGGTGCATCCTGTTATCCTGTTGGGCCAAGCTTCCACCACAGTCACCAGATGTAGGACGGGGGAGAAGAAGAGACAAGGGAAGGATGAGGAGGTCCGCCTCCTCCTCCTCCTCCTCCCTCCTACTCCTCCTCCTGCCTCCGCCTCCGCCTCCTCCTCCTCCTCCTCCTCCTCCTCCTCCTCCTCCTCCTCCTCCTCCTCCTCCTCCTCCTCCTCCTCCTCCTCCCTCTCCTACCTACTGGTAGTGGTGGTGGGAAATGGGGCCATCACAACCGTCCCAGAGCGTTCCGGCACGCTCTCAGAGCGTTCCGGAACGCTCTGAGAGAGCCGCGGCGCCCGAGGCATTCTCCAGAGACGCCAGATATCTCGGAGGTGTCCGATGCATCCTCGCCCGATGTTGATCCTCGTCTGGCTTCGGGGCGCGAAGAGGAGTCGCCAACGTCTGCCCCTGCTGATCTGGCTGCCTCGGAGTAACTGTTTATTCGCGCCTCGCTCGAGGGCCGAGGGGCCCTTCGCCGCCGCCCGCGGCCCCCGCCAGCGCCATGGCTTGGGTCTTGCGCGCTGGAGCTCTCGAGTGGAGTTCGGGGGGTCGCGCCGGCAGCGCTCCAGCTGGGGGATGCTCAGGGCTCTGCCTCCAGGTGCCCCAACGGGCCGACGACTGCGACGTCCTTCCTGCTACGACGCCCCCTCCAACTTCTCCTCACCCTCCAGCGCGAGGCCCCGGGGAGGTTGATGAGTCCGAAGGTTCAGGGCCCTTCCGGCCGCGCTGAGTTCGAGTTCCCGGGAGGGCCGAGCCCAGGTTCCCTTGGGCACTCCAGTCTCCATGTCTCCTCCCCTCCCCCATCTTCTCAATCTCGTCATCAGCATCACGTGCACTTGAAGGTTTGCGACCATCATCCTCACCGTCATCACTAATCCGAAAGCCCTTATAACGGCGACGAGGCGACGATCGAAAGCAGTGCCCCGGCACTGCTTTGAACGCGTTCAAAGCAGTGCCCCGGCACTGCTTTGAACGTATGATATGATGATATGATGATGATTATGATTGATGATGATGATGATTTTTCCAGCGTACACTGTCCGCAACTGCGGCAATCAACATCATGCTCCACTTGCCCGCAACTGCGGCCATCACCAACGCTGCGCCTCGAAGCTCCACGGAGGGCGCTCGGCAGGTCGCCCGCTCGAGCCCCACTCGACTTCACGCTGAGGAGGCGAGCCCTCGGGGGCATTGTCCGCAACTGCGGCATGATCAGAGGGCCACCACTGCGCGCCATCAGCGCCCCATTCGCTCGAGCTCCAGTCCCACCAGGACCAGCCCTGCCATCTCGTGGCGGGACTGCGCGCCTCCCATGCGCCGCTGCCGCTGGCGTCCCAGGACCCAGCCGCCACTGCGGCACAAGAAGGGGTCGCATCGTCGCCGTTGGCAGCTTGCGGCGGTGGCGTGTTCCCAGCTCGCTCAGCCCCAGCGTCTCTCCCCGCAACTGCGGTTCCCATCTGGGGTCGGACGCCCTTCCCCGCAACTGCGGTGTCCGCGTAGCTGCCCTTCTTGCCGCCCTTCTTGCCGCCCTTCCTGCCGCCCTTCCTGCGTTCCAACCTCGCGGCGAGTCTTTCAGGTGACCTGCGGCACGTATTGTGCGTGAAAGCCACCAGAGGGAAGTGCGCTCCGTGCCTCGCCCTGCCGAAGGCGCCATGCCATATCTTGTCGTCGAGGTTGCCCTGCTTCACTCTGAAGGGATGGCGCACCCAATCGTCGCGTTCCCTGCGCGCCATCCTTTGCTCGAACTCCGCAACTGCGGTCAAGGATTCGCCAGATGGCGTCAGGAAGGCGCGCATCTTGTTTTCAACGGGCTCAGCCTTGGGCACGTAAGTCTGAAGCATCTTCCCAGGGCCATTCGTGTAGTCGAAGACAGGGAAAGACGGATCATGCTGGGTCGTCAAGAATCCGCCCTCACGGTCGTGCAGAACACTCAGGCCATGGTGAAGCTTGTACTGCCCAGGACAGTTTATGAACAAAATCGCCATGCTGTCTGCCCTGGGCTGGCCGCCTGCTGTCTTCCAGGGGGTCCACGCGGCGACGTCCACAGTCAGGCCGCAATTGCGGCACCAGGACACAAGCTGGAACATGCACATGTTGAAGTCCCCCATGCAGACCTTCACGTCCCATTCCCTGACGTAGGCGACGAACCAGTTGTAGAACTCATGGAGCTTCGTGACGCCCCAGTCTTGGTTGGCCAAGCTGTGGTGGACGTGCACCGCCATGACGTTGAAGGAGCCCCCCAAATGGGGCACGGCCTGGTCCAGGGGGACGCGCACCACCATCGCCCTGGAGTACTTGTTGTGCAGCTTTGGCGCAGGAGCCTCCGCAACTGCGGACTGTTTCTTCTTCTTCTTCGTTTTGGACTTCTCCTGCTTGTGGAAGATTCTCGCAAAGTCTACGTGTTCAATGTGGCCGCCACTGCGGTCCCTCATGCCAACAAGGAGGGTCCCTGATGGCTCGCCGCCCTTAACGCACAGGTAGTTGTATTGAGTCAGACTCCGAAACCTATCGTCCGCAACTGCGGCTGCACTGTCCCTCGCGTCGTGCTCCCCACTGAGTACCGCGCAGGTCTCGTCGTCGCACTCGCAGAGGGCGATGATCTGGCAGGGTTCGCGCGGAGCTGCGCCCACTCGTCCGCGCGTTGCGTGGGTCTACCTGCAGTCCCTCCGAAGTTGGCCACGTAGAAGCCGACCCGTCCCGCTTCGAACTCCGTTTTCTCCTCCCATGCGTCGACAAGAGCTCTTTGTTTTTCCGACAGATTGCTTGTCTCGATGATGGGCACCCGTTTCCAGGTTCTCCGCGACGACAACACTCTCGGCTTGTAGGAGTCATGTGCTGCCGCAACTGCGGCTCCCGCACCTCCCCGGGACTCAGCCTCGTCAGCGGAGGCAGCCGAGGACGCGACGGTGCTGTCGCCATCTTGCGTCCGCTGGTCGTCGTCATCATCCGCCACTGCGGCTTCCTCGTCTTTGCCTCCCTCCTCCTCCTCAGCGTTGTGGATGAACACCGTTCTGGCGAATCGAGGTCCACGGTCCATACTCCCTGAGGATGCGCTCGGGCGCGCGGGCGGCCACAGGCTTGCGTCTTCGCGTGCGCCACCTCGAGCCACGGTGGCTACGGAAATGGATCGTGAATGGGCATGGGGTCGGATGGAGGGAGGAGACAAAGAGGATTCGAGGAGTGGCAGAAGGAGGGCGAGGACTCAAATGAACCGAAAGAACAACAAATGGACTGGCGGAGAAGCAGAAGGAGGGCGACGATTGCAAGGGACTGTGATAGGATTATTTTCACAGCAGCAGGAAGACCGCAACTGCGGGTTTGCCTCATCTCCTGCCCGCGCGGGAGCCGCTTGGAAAAACAACTTCCCTCTGGACTTCCTGTGGGTCCGCAACTGCGGCCTGCATCACGCTAGGGCTGGGATTACCAGCGCCATTTGCCCTCCCAGGGTTCTCACTGTTTCCGAATGCACGAAATGCGACAGCGCCGAACGGTTCCCAGACGCCGCGTCGTTCGCGACTTTTTGCAGCCACCCAGCAAACGTGAGCGGCCATTGCTCCTTGTGCTGCTTGCACATCTCCTCGACCCAATGCGTCTTGAACCATGCCCACTCCCCCCTCTGCTCGTCTGAGAGGACGCCTTTTCCGCGAGCCAGGCGATCCAGAGCTGCCATCCTGTTTTTCTTGATCTTGAACTCCTCGGGATTCCACTGCGCTAGGGCGTGATTGTTAGCCAAAGCCGTTTCCACCGCAACTGCGGCCTCCTTCTTTGCCCTCAAGGCGGCCTCGGCCTCTCGAATCTGCTTCTTGAGATCGTGCAACGCCTTCGTCCTGTCGTTCGCTTCCAGAGCCAGGCGCCGCTTTTTCGACACCACTGCGGCTTCGTGGTCTCGCTGGGCAGTCAACGCTCGTAGGACCTCGTTGTCCTCCCGCGCCAGCTCTCTCAACCGCTTCTTTTGTTTGTGTCGTTGCTGTCGGCAATCCTGCGCTAGTTTCTCCATGCCCACTTGGCGCAGCATAACTTCCGCCTCGCGGAGCGTTTCTGCCAAGGACGTCGCCACTGCCACCTGCTCGGCCGCCTCTGCGTCGACCACGCAGTCCATGGATACCGAGGATCCTTGAGG